GTTTCTTTCAAGTTATGGAAGTACAACTTTTACGTCTTGTAGCAGTGCACTCATGAGTTTTCTCACGATATCTCTACATCTCTAATTGTCCCAATTAATGATTGATTTTGTCATGTTTGAATCACAGGATAGTGTTGTGTTCATCTCACAAGGCCCCAGTAGTTACATACTCAGTCTTAAAGTATCACAAAGAGAACCAAGAAGCAGGCCAGGAAGGAATGAGGTGAATCTCGGGTATTCGTAATTTCAAACCAGTTTCCTTTCTGTATTTTAATATAGGTAACCCAGACATGTTTTATACTTACCAACTCTTGCGCTTAAGCATGAGTCTCGCGCCTTAACAGATCAAAAACTTCCTAAATGTGTAATTATGCAAACTAGAACCAACGCAAGGAAAAAGGCCTTTGCCCTGTCAATGTGAATTATGCTACTGTACCTCCTCCAGTATTCTATTAAATTTTAGAGGGAACAATCACATTTAACAACATGTTGACAAAACATATCCTACAGTAGGTCTGAGACTTACTTCTTTGGGACATCATCAGAACCCATTTGAATTCAGTCAAGTCATCCTCGAAACTCCTGGTACTCCTGGGATGAAAATTTCTTGCCTTTAACTTACAAAATGTTGGCAGGCAGGGCTTTGCTCTAGAAATTTGTGCCTTAGTGCCACAGGTAACAACGTTTTACCTTTGGGTGACTGAAAAAACTTACTTTTTTCCTATAAGCTTAAGTGCTGGGCACCCAGGTTTTTGTGGTTAGGAACCTTTGGGGCCCCTAGTAATTTTTCGTAGACCACAGGCTTGGCAGGTATAATGTTGGTCACCATCTGACCAATGTTCTAAAACAAACTGTTTTAAGACACAACTAATAGTAATGTGTACGTACATGCAGTAAGACAGTATAAAAGTTCAAGACATTGTCAAATAACTTATAAAAAGTGGTTTGCTGTCTTTTTGGTACTAGCGTTAGGAAGACATCAATAGCAACACCCAGCCAATTTGTTGGCATTGAAGGAGTTGAACTTGGAACAGTAGATAAGGTACAGTGTCACTGTGTACAGTACCTATTATTTCCTTTGTCAACAAAACGAAGAATGATTCTAGCATTAAATTTGTCGCCACTAAGAAAACATGGTGCTTGCTCTGGTACTGTACATGTCTATGTAAATCTTAATGTAAGTCATGTACTGTACAGTACCTACTTGGCTACCAAGCTTGGGTATTTTTTGGTTTCTCTTGTGTCTTTGTGGCCTGAATTTAATGAAATGTCCTTAGCCTGTACAAGGTAGGATTTGACCAAAAAAAGTTCTGTGCATTAGCCACTTAAAATTTGT